ACACATAATATATATACATACAACGTTGATCAGACTCCCAAAAGCCTTCATACCCTCCTTCGGACTTCTCTTTCCAGGGGAGTCTCCGAGCTTCCACGGAGACCTAGTATTTTGAGACACTGACTCTCCAATGTGCCCCCGAGCCATAAGGGGTGAATCTTTCTGTATTCGAGGAGGGCGAATATCCATGGATGCACTATTTGTAATGATAATATGTGAGGTTTAAGTACAACGTTAGTAGGGAAGTATTAGGTCAGGTTCACCAATCCACAAGTTATCTTTATAATCTAATGTGTTGATTTGTCAGCTTAATGTAAAACTATCAGTCCATATAGGTACATTACCCAACCTGGTCAGCTTGATGTAACAGTCCTGGTCAGCCTGGTGCAACAGTCCTGGTCAGCTTGATGTAACAGTCCTGGCTAGCTTGATGTAACAGTCCTGGTCAGCTTGATGTAATACTATCAGTCGATATAGGTACATCAACTGCCCTGGTTAGCTTGATGTAACCATCCTGGTCAGCTTGATGTAATACTAACAGTCGATACAGATACATCAACTGACCTAGTTAGCATGATGTAACGGTCCTGGTCAGCTTGATGTAACGGTCCTGGTCAGCTTGACGTAACGGTCCTGGTCAGCTTGACGTAACGGTCCTGGTCAGCGTAATGTAACGGTCATGGTCAGCTTGATGTAACGGTACTGGTCAGCGTGATTTAACAGTCCTAGTCTGCTTGATGTAACGGTCCTGGTCAGCTTGTTGTAACAGTCCTGGTCAGCTTGATGTAACGGTCCTGGTCAGCTTGATGTAATACTATCAGTCCATATAGATACATCAACTGCCCTGGTTAGCTTGATGTAACAGTCCTTGTCAGCTTGATGTAACGGTCCTGGTCAGCTTGATGTAACGGTCCTGGTCAGCGTGATGTAATGTTCCTGGTCAGCTTGATGTAACGGTCCTGGTCAGCTTGATGTAATACTATCAGTCCATATAGATACATCAACTGCCCTGGTTAGCTTGATGTAACAGTCCTTGTCAGCTTGATGTAACGGTCCTGGTCAGCTTGATGTAACGGTCCTGGTCAGCGTGATGTAACGATCCTGGTTAGCTTGATGTAACAGTCCTTGTCAGCTTGATGTAACGATCCTGGCTAGCTTGATGTAACAGTCCTGGTCAGCTTGGTGTAATACTATCAGTCGATATAGGTACATCAACTGCCCTGGTTAGCTTGATGTAACGGTCCTGGTCAGCTTGATGTAATACTATCAGTCCATATAGATACATCAACTGCCCTGGTTAGCTTGATGTAACAGTCCTTGTCAGCTTGATGTAACGGTCCTGGTCAGCTTGATGTAACAGTCCTTGTCAGCTTGATGTAACGGTCCTGGTCAGCTTGATGTAATACTATCAGTCCATATAGATACATCAACTGCTCTGGTTAGCTTGATGTAACAGTCCTAGTCTGCTTGATGTAACGGTCCTGGTCAGCTTGATGTAATACTATCAGTCTATATAGATACATCAACTGCCCTGGTTAGCTTGATGTAACAGTCCTAGTCTGCTTGATGTAACGGTCCTGGTCAGCTTGATGTAATACTATCAGTCTATATAGATACATCAACTGCCCTGTTTAGCTTGATGTAACAGTCCTAGTCTGCTTGATGTAACGGTCCTGGTCAGCTTGATGTAATACTATCAGTCCATATAGATACATCAACTGCCCTGGTCAGCTTGATGTAACGGTCCTGGATAGCTTGATGTAACGATCCTGGTCAGCTTGATGTAACAGTCCTGGTCAGCTTGATGAAATACTAAATCTTTATAGACACATCGTACAGGTCCTGGTCAGCTTGATGTAATAATAACACTATATAGACACATCATACAGGTCCTGGTCAGCTTGATGTAATAATAACACTATATAGACACATCATACAGGTCCTGGTCAGCTTGATGTAATACTAAATCTATATAGACACATCATACAGGTCCTGGTCAGCTTGAAGTAATGCTAAATCTATATAGACACATCATACAGGTCCTGGTCAGCGTGACGTAACGGTCCTGGTCAGCGTAATGTAACGGTCATGGTCAGCTTGATGTAACGGTTCTGGTCAGCGTGATTTAACAGTCCTAGTCTGCTTGATGTAACGGTCCTGGTCAGCTTGTTGTAACAGTCCTGGTCAGCTTGATGTAACGGTCCTGGTCAGCTTGATGTAATACTATCAGTCCATATAGATACATCAACTGCCCTGGTTAGCTTGATGTAACGGTCCTGGTCAGCTTGATGTAACGGTCCTGGTCAGCTTGTTGTAACGGTCCTGGTCAGCTTGTTGTAACAGTCCTTGTCAGCGTGATGTAATGTAATTGTACTATCAGTCCATATAGATACATCAACTGCCCTGGTTAGCTTGATGTAACAGTCCTTGTCAGCTTGATGTAACGGTCCTGGTCAGCTTGATGTAACGGTCCTGGTCAGCGTGATGTAACGATCCTGGTTAGCTTGATGTAACAGTCCTTGTCAGCTTGATGTAACGATCCTGGCTAGCTTGATGTAACAGTCCTGGTCAGCTTGGTGTAATACTATCAGCGATTAGGTATCAACTGCCCTGGTTAGCTTGATGTAACCATCCTGGTCAGCTTGATGTAATACTATCAGTCCATATAGATACATCAACTGCCCTGGTTAGCTTGATGTAACAGTCCTTGTCAGCTTGATGTAACGGTCCTGGTCAGCTTGATGTAACGGTCCTGGTCAGCGTGATGTAACAGTCCTGGTCAGCTTGATGTAACGGTCCTGGTCAGCTTGATGTAATACTATCAGTCCATATAGATACATCAACTGCTCTGGTTAGCTTGATGTAACAGTCCTAGTCTGCTTGATGTAACGGTCCTGGTCAGCTTGATGTAATACTATCAGTCTATATAGATACATCAACTGCCCTGTTTAGCTTGATGTAACAGTCCTAGTCTGCTTGATGTAACGGTCCTGGTCAGCTTGATGTAACAGTCCTGGTCAGCTTGATGAAATACTAAATCTTTATAGACACATCGTACAGGTCCTGGTCAGCTTGATGTAATAATAACACTATATAGACACATCATACAGGTCCTGGTCAGCTTGATGTAATAATAACACTATATAGACACATCATACAGGTCCTGGTCAGCTTGACCTAATACTAAATCTATACAGACACATCGTACAGGTCCTGGTCAGCTTGATGTAATACTAAATCTATATAGACACATCATACAGGTCCTGGTCAGCTTGAAGTAATGCTAAATCTATATAGACACATCATACAGGTCCTGGTCAGCTTGATGTAACGGTCCTGGTCAGCTTGATGTAATACTAAATCTATATAGACACATCGTACAGGTCCTGGTCAGCTTGATGTAATGTTAAATCTATATACACAATGTATAGTATATATCATCTTCCTTATATCAATTAATAAAATGGTCTCCAATATGTATTTCCTAAATAATAAATGAAAATTTCGAAGATTTTTTAATACACTCTAAAGATGATAATACAGTATAATTACTTACGGCTTCACAGGAGAGACAGATATACACAGACATGATGAAATATTTTCTGTATACCAAGGGGCACAACTCTATCTAACATTAGTACAATTTCACTGTTACAGTTAATTTTTTCAGAACTATTTCCACACGACAGAACATTTAAATCTTTGTCTTTTTATAGTTTGAACAGAAACTTTGCAGGCTTATAAATATTCCAAATAAATTTGTGAACTGTGTCAAAGTATGATTAAACATACATTAATCCTGTATTATAATCAGAGCTAGAGCAAACATCTGTCCACACTGCAATTTCATTTAACATCTCGATAAAGTGATCGTTTGTAACACAATAGTTAAGATCTTTCTCTAGGGAATAGCTTACTATTAGAAGAGCTGGCACACAGCTTTATATACAGTGATAACTAACATATTGGTAAAACTTTGTATAAATGAAATAATCTTGTCTGCAGATGTCTCCATCTCATTTTAGATATCTGTGTGAGAGTGGAGACATCTCAATGATATAGAAAATATCTGTATGATATTGGTAATATCTGTACCACAATGAAACTATTAGTATGCTGTGAGAGATATCTGCATGACATTGACAATATAGTACATGTATGGCATTGACAAAAAATATTCTAAAGATATTGGTGATATCTCAAAGAAATCTACAATACATGTATGATATTCATATCTGTATGACATTGGTGATATCTGTATGACATTGGTGATATCTGTATGACATTGGTGATATCTGTATGGCATTGGTGATATCTGTAATACATTGGTGATATCTGTATGACATTGACAACATCGTTATGACATTGGTGATATCTTTATGACATTGGCAATATCTGTATGACATTGGAGATATCTGTATGCCATTGACAATAGCTTTATGACATTGGTGATATCTGCATGACATTGACAATATCTTTATGACATTGGCAATATTTGTATGACATTGACAATATCTTTATGACATTGGCAATATCTGTATGATATTGGAGATGTCTCTATGATGCTGACAATACAAGGTCCGATCGATTAGTTGTTAGCTTTGTATTGAAGAATTGAAGCAAGGATGTCCTTTTTCAGCTCTATAATATTTCCTGACTATTTAAGGCTGTGTACCCTAAGACTGTTGTCATTTGGTCAGTTCATGTCGAAGAACTAGCACTCTAAAGTTAACAAGTCAAGTGACTTTTACAAAATTTACAAAAAAGAAAAGTCTAGCACCTAAGGATATCCATACTCAATATGCTACAATGAAAAGGTGGTTGGCGGGATTTAAGAATAGTAGGCAGAGCCTTTGGGATGCTGCCGGTCTCGGAAGGCCTGTTGCAATCCCAGAAACGGTCAATAAAGTCCCTTATATTATTATGGTTGACTTTGGATTGATTGAACATCTGCTTTATTCACCTGACATTGCTCCATCAGACTTTCATCTATTTCCAAAATGGAAAAAAGGCCATTTCCAGCCACCCACTTCTGGTCAGATGATGATTTCATACAAGAAGCGGAGGACTTTCTAAACAGTCAAGAAAAGGACTTCTTTAAAGGGGCACTAAGGGCATTAAACATCTCTGGCAGAAGTGTACAGATACTGAAGGGGATTATGTTGAAAAATAATGCAATATATCGACCAAAAGTCACACCCTTAAATATGAGGCTCACAGCTTATCAATCAGCCCTAGACTTGTATAATGATGCAGATTATTGAAATGATGTTACAGATACCGATTTGATATCTATGAGATATTTGTATGATATGGAAGATATATATATGATAGTGAGATATCTGTAACATATTTTGATCACAGCATAGTCAATTGTTTCTGAAGATATATATCAATTGATCTATATAGGTCTATAAAAGATAAAACCTTTCCCTCAAGATATACTAAGGGTAATGAAAAAATATTTCAAACATCTATGATAATGATACCAGTTAATAATTTATACAAAGCATTGGTGGTATATCTTTAAAAGAAAAACCTATTAAAATATAACATATAATTTATAGATTGAATGGAAACACTGGTTAATATGAGTTATATACAATATTGTATGCACTTCCCTAACCTCTATGTTAAATAGATTGTTTCTCTACACCCTGTATGTAAGGGATTGACAGCCACTATAATTGCTAGACGTAGGAGTAAGCCAAAGATTACATTCAAGATCTCCAACATATCTCACTTTATTTTAAGAAAAGTTTATAAATAGAGAGGGTGCAGGCTTCTCTTGATAATATTACAGACATCACCTGTGTATATTTAACCACACTCTATGATAAAGGACATAACAACATAATATGGCATAAATTTAAACTCTTCTGATTTCAACTTGGCTCGCCAAGAGCTTTTAATGGCTGCAGATCATCTTGGTAACTCTCACTTCTGGACCATGGCTGTTCAAGAAAATCCTCTAACCAGTTATTTGCATTCATAATGGACACATACCGGTGTAGCATAGTATTGTGAAGCACGAGAAAATGAATTGGGGTCAAAATACAATAATGGTATAATCATATATTCATATAAACACATAAAAAAGGGTAATATTTCACTTTACCATGGCCATAGTGTAGTGAAACCAAAACCAAACCTCCTGCCCCACCCTTAATTTCCCCACCCCAGACATACTTTTTGTTATTTGTGTTTATGAATGAATCAGAGTGAATGGGAAAACATTTTGGTGAAAAAAAATGAATTAAGGAGAAAATAGTGTAATGCTTTACTTTACTTTCTCCTCTGCCATGCCCCTCCAACCCCTTCTAAATAAGGTAAAAAATTACCCTAAACAATAATATCAACATAAAGTTTCCTTACATATGTTTGTTACAGAATCCTGGCATCCTGCAGTCAAGAAGAAGAATTTTTTAAGAATTATTTCAATTTTCCCTATTGGGCTCCAGCTCTCCTTCCCCTAAGGACTGGGACCAAATGTCTATAAAAATCCAAGACATCTTCAGCAGAAGATTTTTCAGCCAAAGATTTTTCAGGCTAAATAAAGAAAACAACCTGACATTCCTGTAAACGAAGAAGGATTTCTGACGGATTTTCCCTATTTTCCCAGTTGACCCCTGTAACTCCCATCACAGGAGGCAGCAACCCACCATCACAGGAGGCAGCAACCCACCATCACAGTAGGCAGTAACCCACCATCCACCATCACAGTAGGCAGCAACCCACCATCACAGGAGGCAGCAACCCACCATCACAGGAGGCAGCCACCCACCATTACAGGAGGCAGCAACCCACCATCCCAGGAGGCAGCATCCCACCATCACAGGAGGCAGCAACCCACCATCACAGGAGGCAGCAACCCACCATCACAGGAGGCAGCAACCCACCATCACAGGAGGCAGCAACCCACCATCACAGTAGGCAGCAACCCACCATCACAGGAGGCAGCAACCCACCATCACAGGAGGCAGCCACCCACCATCACAGGAGGCAGCAACCCACCATCCCAGGAGGCAGCATCCCACCATCACAGGAGGCAGCAACCCACCATCACAGGAGACAGCAACTCCCATCACAGGAGGCAGCAACCCACCATCACAGGAGACAGCAACTCCCATCACAGGAGGCAGCAACCCACCATCACAGGAGGCAGCAACCCACCATCAAAGGAGGCAGCAACCCACCATCACAGGAGGCAGCCACCCACCATCACAGGAGGCAGCAACCCACCATCCCAGGAGGCAGCATCCCACCATCACAGGATGCAGCAACCCACCATCACAGGAGACAGCAACTCCCATCACAGGAGGCAGCAACCCACCATCACAGGAGACAGCAACTCCCATCACAGGAGGCAGCAACCCACCATCACAGGAGGCAGCAACCCACCATCACAGGAGGCAGCAACTCCCATCACAGGAGGCAGCAACCCACCATCACAGGAGGCAGCAACCCACCATCACAGGAGGCAGCCACCCACCATCACAGGAGGCAGCAACCCACCATCCCAGGAGGCAGCATCCCACCATCACAGGAGGCAGCAACCCACCATCCCAGGAGGCAGCATCCCACCATCACAGGATGCAGCAACCCACCATCACAGGAGACAGCAACTCCCATCACAGGAGGCAGCAACCCACCATCACAGGAGGCAGCAACCCACCATCACAGGAGGCAGCAACCCACTATCACAGGAGGCAGCCACCCACCATCACAGGAGGCAGCAACCCACCATCCCAGGAGGCAGCATCCCACCATCACAGGATGCAGCAACCCACCATCACAGGAGACAGCAACTCCCATCACAGGAGGCAGCAACCCACCATCACAGGAGACAGCAACTCCCATCACAGGAGGCAGCAACCCACCATCACAGGAGGCAGCAACCCACCATCACAGGAGGCAGCAACTCCCATCACAGGAGGCAGCAACCCCCATCACAGGAGGCAGCAACCCACCACCACAGGAGGCAGCAACCCACCACCACAGGAGGCAGCAACTCCCATCACAAGAGGCAGCAACCCATCATCACAGGAGGCAGCAACTCCCATCACTGGAGAGAGCAACCCACAATCACAGGAGGCAGCAACCTGCAATCACAGGAAGCAGCAACCCACCTCGCAGCAACCCACCATCACAGGAGGCAGCAACCCACCATCACAGGAGGCAGCAACCCACCATCACAGGAGGCAGCAACTCCCATCACAGGAGGCAGCAACCCACCATCACAGGAGGCAGCCACCCACCATCACAGGAGGCAGCAACCCACCATCCCAGGAGGCAGCATCCCACCATCACAGGATGCAGCAACCTACATCACAGGAGACAGCAACTCCCATCACAGGAGGCAGCAACCCACCATCACAGGAGGCAGCAACCCACCATCACAGGAGGCAGCAACCCACCATCACAGGAGGCAGCCACCCACCATCACAGGAGGCAGCAACCCACCATCCCAGGAGGCAGCATCCCACCATTACAGGATGCAGCAACCCACCATCACAGGAGACAGCAACTCCCATCACAGGAGGCAGCAACCCACCATCACAGGAGACAGCAACTCCCATCACAGGAGGCAGCAACCCATCATCACAGGAGGCAGCAACCCACCATCACAGGAGGCAGCAACTCCCATCACAGGAGGCAGCAACCCCCATCACAGGAGGCAGCAACCCACCACCACAGGAGGCAGCAACCCACCACCACAGGAGGCAGCAACTCCCATCACAAGAGGCAGCAACCCATCATCACAGGAGGCAGCAACTCCCATCACTGGAGAGAGCAACCCACAATCACAGGAGGCAGCAACCCGTAATCACAGGAGGCAGCAACCCACCTCGCAGCAACCCACCATCACAGGAGGCAGCAACCCATCATCACAGGAGGCAGCATCCCACCATCACAGGATGCAGCAACCCACCATCACAGGAGACAGCAACCCACCACCACAGGAGGCAGCAACTTCCATCACAAGAGGCAGCAACCCACCATCACAGTAGGCAGCAACCCATCATCACAGGAGGCAGCAACTTCCATCACAAGAGGCAGCAACCCATCATCACAGGAGGCAGCAACCCACCATCACAGGAGACAGCAACCCACCGCCACAGGAGGCAGTAACCCACCTCGCAGCAACCCACCATCACAGGAGGCAGCAACCAACCATCACAGGAGGCAGCATCCCACCATCACAGGATACAGCAACCCACCATCACAGGAGACAGCAACTCCCATCACAGGAGGCAGCAACCCACCATCACGGGAGGCAGCAACCCACCATCACGGGAGGCAGCAACTCCCATCACAGGAGGCAGCAACCCACCATCACGGGAGGCAGCAACCCACCATCACGGGAGGCAGCAACTCCCATCACAGGAGGCAGCAACCCACCATCACAGGAGGCAGCAACCCACCATCACGGGAGGCAGCAACCCACCATCAATACAAACTGAGCCATCTTCATCCATAAAGAAGTAGCATTTTAACAAATTTGCACTCTTTCCAATAATCGGCCCTGCCCCTCCTGCTGTGTACTGGAAGAGAATCCAGGCATTCGAATTGAGTCCCTTTCAACAAAGGGTATATCTGGCCAAATCTGGACAAAATCCAATCATTTCTACAATAGTAGAATAATTTGAAAAAAATTCCTCTACTTCCCCTATTTGGCCCCACCTCTCTGGCCCAAAGCGGTCCGACTGATACAAAATTGAAACCGGCCCTTCAACTAAGGATACTTTTGACCAAATATGGTCGAAAACTCTCAGTCATTCATGAATACTAGTGATTGGTAGGAAAAGTTGACTGATGAACAGATGTCATGGTATGCCAAATCTAGCCAAGTGAGCTACAAACATAATGAATATTTTTTTGAAAATTCAGTTGAAAGACTCACCTTTCCTTTTGACCATCAATTGTGTGACAATTTGCCTTACCTTATCTTACCTGTCAGTGACAAATAGCTGCCTTTATCTATGCAGCAGATGATGAAGTCTGTATAACTGTAGTGCCAACAAAATAATACGGCCTTTTCAACAAAGGATAAAATACTACATAGTCAATACTCTATGTACCTGCTAGTTCATATATTTCATTTCCGAATCAAATGTTTTTACGTTCACTTAGATACAAATTAAATATATTTTCATCATGTATTTAACAACTTGTAATCAGCCAAGCCAGGATATGGCCGAGTAGACATGATTCAATAAGCGAGTGAAGTCTCCGTTAATGACAGTTCCGAGTAATATCACAGTAATTGAAACACACAATGTGGTTCATATTTGCTGACACTTCATACTGTTTTTGATCAACTGCCGATCTATATACATAATTTCTCCCAAACAGGTAAAAACATACCATTTAGAGTGAACTCAAATTTTTTTTTTACATTATGTTTTATAGATCTTTGGTATATAATTACATATTATTTGCCTATAGAATTTGATGTCTGATTCACTAATTGTATTTTTGTATTCTTTCATTTATCCTCTCAAAAAAGATAGACTAAAAATTTCTGTCTCTCTCTCTAAGAGGATCAATATTATGTTGTTATGTATATTAATATTTTGTAGATTATTGCTCACGAGATGTTTCTCGTATTGATTTATACTCTAGATATCTCAGTTTCATTGATCTGAAAATTGTCAAAAACTGACATTTTAAAACATGGCAGTTGAGCGTGCAATGGTTAAAAAATTGATTATTTATCAATGATCAGTGACTGATACATTAGGTTCATAGACAAGTCCTTTGATGTCTGATTTTATGTTAGTAACATGTTCTCAAATGAGTGTTCCATCTTATAAGATTTTTTTATCACTCTGAAAACAAACCTTATTCATCATTGAAAAATCATGACTACAACAACCTAGCCGGGTGGTTAGGCGACACAGTGGTGATGTATTTGTCTTGCACTTAGCGATCCTGTGTCGGATTCCCAGAAAAAAGGATGTGAAAAGGTATGTGGTTACCTGTCCAGACACGTGGGTTTCCCCCCGGGTACTCTGGTTTCCTCCCACAGTAAGCCCCTTGTGAGCTTCCATCTGGGCCAACAAGAGTGATAAATATTATAAGCTTGAAACCTTGTTTTGCAACTGTTTTAAAATAAATTAAATTTATTTACAGCAAACTAGCTGCAGCCAGGTATTATTAGATTTAATATTAGTTCCAATAAGAACAGTTTTAAAGGTTTAAAATAGTTCATAATATTCAAGCAGAACCTCTTCTCATTTTAGTTTCTTAACATTTCCATAAAATTTCAGTTCAGGGCCACACATGGCATTGAGAACAATAAGTTTCACAATGTTTTTTTCAAGGTGTTGGCCATCGCAGCCATATTGGATTTTGGACAAACCTGAAAACAACAACACTTGGTTAGACCACCTAAAGGTCAATTGAGGCAAGTTTCAGCTGAATCCCACTGATAGAACATCAGAAGTTCAAAAAAGATATTGCTCGGGAACACTTTGATTGTGTAATTAAGGTAAGAAATGCCCAACATGGCAGGTATCCCTATTCCACACAAAAATTCCCTTTCTATAGGATTTTCATTACCAGAACGGATCTGCATAAGGACTGTGTTTATCTACTGAACAGATCATAATTTCCAATTCTGAATTTCTCTGTCTTCAACCCCAACACACAAATGTGACACATGTCCACTGGCACTGAAAGGATCCCAGTCTGCCAATACCCTGACCCTATAGTAAACACAGTATGATCACCTCTCAACGAAGGGCTAGGGTTGGTTTGAAAATCCAGATATGGTAGTGTCAAACAATGGGGGTAAGTCATCTCCCGAGGATGATGACAGGACACAGATCTGAAGTCATAACGTTAACAGATTACCATACAGTCAACACCCAACATTTAAACTGTAACATACTTTTACGGTTAATGTACAATCATGCACATGAACCTAATTTTGGACTTGAGAAAAGACAGGTCCTGACCTCACTGCAGAATAATTTATCCACCAGTTTGATAAATAGAGGTTTTTTTATCAAGCCTTGAATGAGCTGTGCAGTGTCAGTACACAATGTTTTGAAGGATTCCTAATCTTTATGATTTATTCAGAGCAACAAACTTCCTAAACTTCAGAAAAAGAAGGCCCCACATAATACTGTTGTTTATCTACAACCATGTTCATTTGCCTTTGTTATAATAAATTGAGTATGACAGACCTAACATGAGATTAAGATACGACAAAATTCCTCAACTGCACACTATCGTTATCATTTTCTGAAAAATTCTGGATTTTTATCCATGGCTGTCATAATGAACTTCTGATGAAGCTGAAAAATAACAAGTTTGTCAACTTCCTTCCTTAACATATTCAACAATTTTGAACTCAATGGCACCCGTTGGGAGACGCTCAAAATGTGAGTTTTAAAGTGGGCAGCCATATTGGAATTTGAACTGACCTAAAAAAAAAAAGTTAGTCTGTTGGGAACTTAAGTAGTTTAAAATGTGTTTTTCAAGATGGCTGCCATATTGGAATTTGAGCTGACCTGCAAAACTTCAATTTAGTCTGTTAGGAACTTTAGAAGTTTGAAATGTGTTTTTTTTTAAGATGGCAGCCATACTGGAAATTAGACTGACCTGAAAGAAAAGTTAGTCAAGTTGCAAAATGGGCATGATGGCTGCAATATTCAACTTCTAACGAGGCGGAAAATAACAAGACTGTATCAGCTTTTCTTCCATCAAGGAATGCCAGTGTCTTGTTTCTCATCCAATGTCTGTGATAACCCAATAACTTGCATTAGTTTTTGAACACTAATCTCTACAGACACCTGCTCATTTTTCTACATATTATTGACTATGTTTAATGTAATTTCAGGTAAATACTTGTGTGCATTCACTTTCAATCCCCATTTTGACACTTCAGATGCAATGACGAATGATTACTCTACAACATGCCTGCTATGTGAAGCGAGTATCAGTGAAACGGTGAATGCTCCTCGTAAAAAATTATTATACTGTGCGCAAAATTCAATCAAAGGGCAATAACTCTGTAATTAAGAAGTTGCAGGCCCTGAATTTGGTTATACCTTACATTTTCTTAGTATGACCAATGTATACACCAAATTTCAATAATAAAATATGCAAAAAAGAGTTATGGTTCTTGTACACTGCACTTCTCCTTATTGAGATCAACCTATGGAGTTTCAAGTTGATAACAATTAAGAGTTTTTGCGTTATGTTCTTGATAAAATTATGATGAACAGACAGACTGACAGACAAATAACATAGGTAAATGAAGGTGATGCAAGTTGTCAGTATAAACAGAAGACATAAAACTGAACAGCTTCTGTCAGTGTAAATGGTCAAGCCTGTAAACCTGAATGCTCTCGCTCAAAGAAACAATGAACCGATCACATCAGCATTGAATCTTTAACAAAACAGATAATTAACTGCCAGTCTTTTCAGGTAACAGCCTAACTTCCAACTTCAAGGCCCAAAGGGCCTGTTTCCAGTAATGTTAATTCTCCATAGGAGCCTGCCCCCGTATAATTTCTTATCTAGCTCAACTACTGTTTTTTTCTTTTCCGAAAAGTAATTTTACACCTTTCCGACACCCAGATTTCATAATTTCAGTGAAAATGTGTTTTTATAAAGTTGTCAATTTCAGCATCAAAGACATAAGTTCGTAAATAAAAGAAGGTTATCTCGAAATTGTAATTCGCAACATAGTATAAATTTCTTTTGATAAATATTTCCAAAACATCGTGTTTATTCATAAAACATAAAAAAAAAATATTCTCCGATGAAAATGCACTTGCAGAGACACAATTATGAAGAAAAATGCCATAAATTTGCAATTTTCTCCCGTTATATAGTTTTGGATGCAAATTTCCATCAGAAAATCGGATAGAGCTTTACTTGTTTCATATGTGTACCAAAAATCAGCTAATTCCATGTGGTGGAACGTTCTCATATCGCCGCCTGAATGTAGTTGTAAATTGAAAGAAAAGGGGAAATGAGTAACAACCTTGTCTGAAACCCTATTATATAGCTTATTATATACAAACTTTTATATTGAATATCAGAGCGGATATTTTCATGACAGTTTTATGATAAAAAAAAAAAAATAAATAAAGTACTGTTTCCCCGTCTCGATCTTGATTACTTGAGAACCTCTGGCTCCTGGTTACATCGCCGAACATTTAAGTGATGACGGCGACTATGAGGTGTGGCTTTACCAGCACTCCCCAGACCTTCTCCGATGTCAAATACATTCTCGACACAAAAGCCAAATGAAATATAACGTTTGGATACGGTTCACTGTTTCACCCGATGTTGAGGCCCCAATAAAGGACTACTACTGCCAGTGACCAGTTGGAGAGAGAACGATGGGAATGTGTGCGCACATCTCCAGTATCTTGTACTACCTTGGGTATTACAGGACGCTGGAAAACCCTCGACCATTACAACCACAGGTAAAGAAATTCCGACAAAACTTGAAATAGT